TCCTCCTGGACCAAATTCCAGATTTCATTTATTGCAAAAGAAACCAGATTGAGCATTGTGAGAGCATTCTGCAATGCAAAGCCACTACTGTCAATGGGAATGAGGAGGGGATTCAGCCCAAGAACACACTCCTGATAAAAATTAAAATGTTACTGCACATATTCTTTGCTACCTCAATTCATGCTATTCAAACAGATTGCTCCACAAGCAGCAAACTGCCAGGAAAAACTGAAAATATCAGCTTATGCCTAATTTATCCTACACTGGAGATGAAGCATTATATTCACAAACAGGTTGATGCTACTCATTCAATTCACAGCCAGGGGCCTCCACAGAGCATGGGGACTTCATTGCCATGAAGAGTTGTAGAGAAGCACATCAGCCTTTTCATCCAGTCAGTGAGCTAAGCAGGATTAGGCAAAACAGAAAGAGACAGAACTGATTAGAAGTGGAAATCCTTATATCAGCAGATAAAAGAAGAAGCCATGGAACATAAGTCCTCTCCAATCTGCCTGAGCACTCTGCAAACTGAGCACCTCTACCTAAAGGAAGAACCACAACTTTTCTTTTGCTGTACTTCAAAGCCAGCTGCTGCTGGAGGAATGTGGAACTCAGGATGCAGGTGTTGTTGCCTCTGCCCTGGAAAATCTCCATGAGCTCTAGCACTTGGTCAGTGTCACAGGACTCCAGCATCACTGAAGAGCTTTTAGAAGCTGACATAGGTATTCACTGGGTTTTTTTTAATTAAAGTACTCAGGTATACCATAACTTATTTTTCTGCTCAGGATGTAATTTTAGTATCTGTACAGTTCTTATTTCTACCTTAATCATGGTTTGCAAAGACTTTACAAAGGCTACCTGACATTTTACACTCATAAATCTTATCTACAACCTGTTGAGCAAACCTGAGATGTTTTTGATGAGAAGCAAAAAAAAGGGGGGGGAAAGACAGTTTTCAGATCTCTTGGACTCTCTTATTATCAGACAGCATCTATCTAATGCAGTTTTATTCAAATGAGAATATATTGACATAAAATTGGGTGAACATTCCAAACTGCAAGGAGCATATAGTAATGCAATAGCTGCTGTGTTTTTATGGGTTATTTTAAATCTAATTTTAAACTAAATTTGAACTAAGAACATTAAGCTCCTTTTCTACTCTATTTTTTTAATTGTATAACCAAAATTATATTAAAGAACAACTTGAAACATCCTCTAATCATGCTGCAAAATTATTTTGTTTACAGATCATTCAGTAATAAAGACTGAACTTCGGCCATGATAAAAATAGCAATTAATTGACTCTTGAGTCACATGGTAGCTTATGGAGGAAATTATATGTTTGTGTGACTGAAAATAATGAATAATGCACAAAGGAATTCATGCAATTATATGTCTAGTGTCCTGGTACAAAGAACCAGCGAAGGCACAAGATCCTTGTGTTAGAAAAGCTACCTAAAATGCCATCTGCAGTTTCCAAATGCTGGGGGGAAATATTATTACAGCCAGAAACTCCAAAAACAAACCTATTTATATGAAAACCTATTTAGCCCTGAAGCATGAGTGCAAAAGTGAAATAAAACAGACATTGCTTCTTGGAAGCACATGTATTTTTAAGCAAAATGTGGATACAAACGTCCTAATTTGGAGAACGAAATTAAGATGGGAACACTGTGTGGGGTTCCAGTTCCATCCTAACATATACTGAATTCAACTGCAGTATGCTGTATTGCCCTTCTTTCCCCATCTCCAGCCTGTCCAAGTCCTGGCTACTTATTCCAACCTATCCATCTTGAACGAGACAGCTGATCTGGCTGCAAACTTATTTTCTCCACATACACACAGAGGTTAGTCTGCAGCTGTTCAGTGATTTTTTTACACAATCTAAATCACCTTGTCACCAAACACTAATTTCAGTATTGTTTTCTAATGCCTTCTGTCCTTCTTAGATCTAACAATGGATCCCCATATCTACTAATCTGACAATAAACTGGCTATTTGAAGTCACCACAAGATAGCCAAACATAGGGTAACCAGTGACAGGAAAATCTTTAATTGAGAGCAGTTGGTGCTAGAGGCCTCAAGCTGTCTCTCCTACTACCATAATATTCATTTGGCCATTCCACTGAACAGAAAAAGGTCCAGGCTTTTCTCTCTAATTGAGGGGAATGGAGAGTTGCATCACAAAGCCTCAAAAAAAGGCTACACAATTTTAAGGTATGTTTTGAAGATCTTGCTTGCTATAACAAAAGATTGGACACAAGAGTGCTCCTGCTCTGCTCCCAAGATTCTTCACATAAAGACATAAGTCCACTGGAGCTATTAGATAGAATGATCCAGATTCTGACTGAGGTAGTCCTTAACCTAATGTCTTCTGGAAGTCTGGAGGATGTACAAGAGATGGGATCAGTCTACTATAAAAATTTTAGTGTTTCAGACACTTTTCCTTAAATATCTACTGCTGGCCTAGAAGGTGTATGGGATTCACCCAGCCTTTGACTAGACCCAGATGGTGACACTTAAATTTTCACATTCTTGTCTCTAACAAATGTTGCTTAATGACCAGAGTTATGAAAATATAAAACCAAGTTGGTGACACAGGTTGGAAAGAGCTCTCCCTTCTCTCCATTTCTCCTGTCTTACATAATGAATATTAGGGATTATTTCTTAGAACAGGAGCTTGGGAAGAAGCCACAGTAAGTTTTAGAGCTAGAAGAACATCCTGGGATGAGAGCAGGGTATTTTATGGGAACCAGATAAATTAAATAATAAAGAACTACTGAATCATAAAAAGCATGCTACAAAAAGTACAAGGTAGGATAGGATATGTAAATAAAGATCTTGTTCATCACCATAAAAGGATTCTTCTGGGGAATCAAGAAAATATCGTACAGAAAAAGAAAAACTGGGGAGGGTTCTTTTCAAAAGCTTTCAGTAAAATTCAGTAACAGAGGAACTATTAAGGGAAAGACTACAATTTTAACAGATTATTTACCTATAAGATTAACAGCTGGACCTTAGAATTAAAAATGAGTGGGAGGATGAAAGAACAGCAAGAGTGAGTTTTCTGTATAACAAGTGATAAATAGACACAATTAAGGTAGTATTGCTTAATATAGAGAGGACCCATGGCAGCTGGCAAAGAAAAACAAAACCCAGGGGGGTCATAAAAGATGCAGATGACATGAAAGCAGTTGGGCTGTAAACTCATGAGCAAAGAGGCAAAGTTTCAGGTTAAACCTTCAGCAAGCCATGCAGCAGCAGCTGTGTGCGCACACACAAGCTGTACATTGGAAAGCCTGAGACTACAGCAGGCTGTACCTTGAAAAACAAGCGCGAGAAAAGTGTCCTCAGGTCACTCAGGGAGCACTTCTTATGGTTTGGGGAAGGGCTAAGATGCTTTTAGAGATTGAGATGTGTACTTCCATCATTTTAAAAAGGTTTCTTTTCCCACCAGGCCCAGCTGATGCAGGTGTGATTGGGCAGCTGCTGGAGGGCCTTGCAGCATTAGCTGAAGGCAGCTGGCTCAGGAAACTCACTCTAAGCAAAGAAAGGGTTGTGGTGCCATGGAAAGATTTGTGTGCCCTTCCCAGCCACTGTGGTCAATGAAAATGTGCAGCTGAGGAACAGCAGAGCTTCAGTCTCCATCTTCACAAAAGCCAGACCATTCAGCTGCATTTGGAAGGATGTGAAGTGATATGAGTGTTGTGACAGACTGCCAGTACATCCTGCACTCACATTCATTGATTTTAATCAGATTGTTCCATTCAGAAAATCCCTACAAAATATGCAGCATTCATGCAAACTGGGTGGTGTCCCCATCCTCCAGGAGCAACAATTCCTGTGTTACTTCCAGCCCTTGCTGCAATTGTTCTCATGTCACTGCCCACAGCTGCAGCCAAGCAAGGCCCATAAACCAATGAACCCCCACAAACTGGAGATCACCAAGTACAAGGGCCTGTAGTGAGACCAGACCTGGATCACATACCTCCTGGAAAAAAGGAAGAGCAAGGTAGGATGCAGAAAGGTTGTCATAGAAGGATGTTCCGCTGCTGGACCACACTTAAGAGACAAGAAAATACTACATTCACAACACCTGCCTGAGTCAGGATCAGCATTTAGATTTAACCATCCTTTCCAAATCCAGATAACAATTTGAATAAAGAGTGGGAGAAGAATTAAACTTCCCAGAAGACAGATGAACCCTTCTTACTGCTGGTATTAAGAACAGATCACCCTACTTTTCTGGCTTTCATCCAGCAGGTGAAATCAGTTACAAAAGCAAACAGCTCTGCTGGGAGAGTTGCCCTGTTCAGAGGGTGCCATAGCAGAACTGTCAGCATGTTTATCTTCAACAGCTGGGCATGGTTACTGAACCTCCTTTCCCATGATCAAAAAAAAGTCTGTGGCCAGGTCTAGCACAAGGTCTGATTGTCCCCCAAATGATGCCATGGGAGAGTAGTCAGTCATGCTCTCAGCATGGTTTAAATTTCATTTTTCCAGACAAGAGATTTGGAAGATGGTTTTTCCTGCTATCAACCACAGATCCTTTCACCCACTTAAAAAATGCACTCTGCTAAAAAATCCACTTGCTTTTTATTTCATTTAAGTCAACAGCCAGGAAAAATTCAGAGCAAATATTTTTCCATTGAATCAAGTTTCTAAACAGCTTTCCTAAACTGCTCCCCCATCATTATCCTCATCATGTCCCTGCTAATGGTTGTTACCAGTCTCTCATTTTTCATTTTGTCCCTCAGATCCAAACTCCATTTTTCCTCATTCACTCTTCCAACCAACCAAGAGGCCTCTGTGGTAACACTTCCCAGCTCTCCAAAAACACTTTTTATAACCTGTTCTCAGATTGCTTGCACCAGGGGGAGGGACATTTGTCACTCCGGCTTCCCTCCTGCTTCTTCACCAGCACACCAAGGTGCTCCAGGTCCCCCCTTCCCAACCCCAATCCTATCCAGTTCCCCCTCCACCACCTTCCCAGTTATCACCTTGTCTGCCGCACAGACCAAAGTATTCAACCCTACTTCTAAACTGAGTCTGGTAAGTGTTCTAGTCCCAGGCAAAACAAAACAAAATCTTCCTCCTCATAAGTGTTGGAGGGGTTTAAATAGCTCATTTGGCAGATCCAGCTGAGAGCTGGGATAGAAGAACAATGGGAGGAGCAGGGCTGAAGTGGGGCAGCAACCTCCCGGGGAGGAGGGTGAGAATGCACAGCTGGGGAAGGCAGAAAAAAGGTGGAAAGCTCTCCAACCCTGCCGAGGAAATGCAAGGGAGAATTGCAGGTGTATCTTACAGGCTGAGTGAAATAAGTTAAATTCTATTAGTGGGTAGGTCAATTTAAATTAAGAGTGGAGTGCTAAAGAAAACAATGGAACAGCAAGTGAATAGAGGGTAAGTGTTTTCATGGAGTAATGGTTCATATGGTGCATTGTTTTCTGGCAGAAGAAGAGGAGGGAATTTTTATTTTGTATGTGCTTTGGGTTTGAATAGTTAGATGCCTCATATGGGTAAATAGGAGATAAAATGTGTTCTTTTCTTTTGTTCTTTTTTTACAATTTCTTCCAGTAGTCTGTTTTTTTGGTTTTTTTTAAAGTTCTATAAAGGACTTTTTTCCAAAAACAAAAACACATATGCCCATATAAGAGTGGATGTTGACATTACTAACTGAATCTGAATATTTCTCACACAGGAAAAAAATACAATTGGATAATCAAATCCTTATCAAATAAGAAGAAATTTTAATGTAATTTTGTATCAGAGTATTTATTTTGCCTTTTTAATTTAGTTGCAAATTCTGAGCACTGTATTCTGCACTACAGTAAAACCAGCACTGTATTAAAAGAAAGAAATAAACCTAAAAAACCCTCCAGATTTTTAACAAATACATTGAACAAATACATGAATATGTGATATATTTGATTAAAACTTATAGTGAATTTCAGGACTGTAATTAGAGTTTTCTTGTATCAAAAGCTTGGTCATATAAGGGCAGTAGATCTGTGAAAGTCTCATGTGATTATATGCCTCACCCACAGGCAAAATTAGCGTAAGGCAAAGAAGAATGTTCATAAAAGTAGTGAAAATGCTATTATAGAGTCTCCCTGAGGTTCAAAGGCAAATTTTGAAAGTAATTACAGAACTTTTAGCCCAAAAAGTCTTACAGGCAGCCAGTTAGTCTGTACCATATATGAGGTATAAGACTGCAAAACAAAACAGTAAGAGTCACCCTTGTTCTCTACCTGCAGACTGGCCTGCAAACCTAAATCAGGAACTTGTATGCAACCAGGAGAGTTGATTCCAACAAAATGTTTGCTTTGCCACGTGGCTAGAGGAACTCCACTGGTAAAAATGCACAAAGTTTTTCACTGCATGCTATAGTGCCTCTCCCAGAGGGAGAAGAGCTTGCTACCACTTGCCCCCTGCCACACAAAAAAAGCAGCCATTGCTCCACCACAGCACAATTGCTCCAATAAACAAGTGCTAATCATGCACATTATGCACAACATAATACGTGTGAGCTTGTCAGCAGGCAAACAGCTCCATCTCTGAATAAGAACCCTTTCCAAATTAGGAGAACTAAATTACACAAGCAGACAGCTGTTTGCTGACCTACCTAAAACAGTTTGCTGGTCTCGTCCCAGTTCCTCGCAGGCAGGTGTCTGCTTCGCAGCAAACATCAGCACTATTCACATTACTGACAAGCTGGCTAGCAAACTCCACAGGCTTTTTCCCCCCTTGGCCCCAGGGCTGATTCCCCCAGACAGGGAATGCCTGGGGTGACAGTCAGCCCCCAGCCAGAGGCCAAAAGGAGAGTATGAATTTTCAGCCATCTCACTCTAACCCACAAGGAAAGCAACAGAAAGAGCAAGAGCAGTGTGGATTAACACAATAAAAATCATCAAAAACTGATGGATTTTAGAAAGAAAATCTAGGGCATCATGGCTTTGTTTAGTGGGAACCTTGCTTTTCTATGTCTAGAAATCCCATCCTGAATTCAGTGATAATGGGCTTGATTCTCCACAGCCCACTTACTTCAATATCTTCAAGCAAAACATGAGTAAGAAATCAAGATCATGGGATTTTAAAAGATTGCTTTTCACTTATTGCTTAAAGATTTCATTGTAGTGTAGAATAATAATGCACTTTTGTAGCGAATTTAGTCCACTGCTTTATACCAATTTTGCCAACCTCATGCAGAAAGAACTTATATATTTGTCAGAAGACAATTACTTATTTCAGATAAGTAGAGGGATAGAACCAAGGCATTGTAAATGTCTGTGCATACTTTTAAGCCACCATTGGGAAAACTCAGACATTCTTCCAAACCAGACCTTAAGACGTCAGGCTTCAAAATGATCCAATTCTCCAATCAGTCTACTTGTATCAAGTATCTTGGTGATTAATTTCAGAAATGTCCCTTTTCCTTCCAGTTTAGGATAGAGAACAGAAAAGAAAGGAAACTGATATGTCTGGAGTGGATTCTCCACTCTTCATCTTTCTGCTGCCTGAAAAGAGCATCAGGACCACTGACACCCCAAAAATCATAGAATGGCATGAGTGCCTTGTCCTGAGATTCAGTGCCTAAGGAGGTAACTCTGCAGGCATTAACATAAAATTCAAGTTACTTGTTTGAGTGCTGTCATGTGGGGCTAAGTGGTGTCACAACCACCTTCACTTGCTCCAGAAACTCTGAATTTGAATGTCAGGAGCTTTTGTGATGGATGCATCTGTAAATAATTAGCACTGCTTTGTTGAACACTAATTGTGCAGCTGTGCTGGACGAAGTCTCAAAATAGATGTTACAAACTATAAAGGACCAAATTTTCTCTTATTCCAGCCTGATCTCAGAACTCCAGAGCTGTTAAATCAGAGCATGGCACAGCCTCAAGGGCCAAATTCACCTCTGGGCAAATCTTTTATGAGTCATGCATTTACTAATCAGCCCCACAGGGTGAAAAGCTGCTGTTTGTCAGGAACAAGGATGATAATGGGTAGTCTCCTTATCCACCACTGGATTGCCATGTGGCCTACCAAGAAAAAAAATCAAGGGAGGAATGGATATAAGTCACAAAGAGTTCACTCAAACAGCAACAGTATTGTTTTGAGCTTCTCTTCTATAAAAGAGCATACCTGTGGATTCCATTACAATGTTCCTTTCTTTTTCAACACTGGGAATTTATGATGCTGTACACAAATAGTTCATCTTTTCATCAGTTCATATCTCGTTATGTGACACAGACCATACCCCACCACCTGGGAGTGGACACTTGCTGCTCTCATAACACTCTCTCTGCACCTGTTTCTGAGATTTTCCAACTTCCAACCCCTCCAGTTGCCCTATCAATGTCAGTTCTCAATTGCATTATTGTGCCCTTCATCTGTCTTAGTATTGATCCTCAATTACTCCCCAGTTTCCCAAAATATCAGCCACATCCACCTACAACACCAGTGCTTCACCTATAGTCCTCCTAAGAACAGCCACTGCACACATAGCTGCATGCATACAGCCACTATCTTTCTTCCCTCTCTAATCTCAGCTCCCTCTAACATGCAATCATGTTTCCAAATGAGATGGATCATTTTGGCTTCTGACCTAGGAAAACAGAGTAAGATCAGCCTCCCATTCCAGCTTCCTCAGATTAGCTCCTTATTTCCTTTCTGACAAGTGTCCAAACATAAAGCATTCAAGGAATTTCAAAGCAGTTTTTAATGTTCTAAATATCTTTCAAAGTTTCTTTTGGCTGAAAGGACTATGAATTCATGAACATTTAGCCATCCCATGGCTTCATTGTCAGTCAATAATTATTTGTGAAAGCAAATGCTGTTATCATGTACTGTCCATTACTCTGGACTCCCATACTTCCTCCTGAATTTACCAGCAATTTCACCTCTTCAGCATCAGATTTCCCTCAAACTTTCAAACACATCTTCTCTTACTTCACCACATTACACAGAGTGGCATTTACTGGAGCATCTCATCTGCTGTATCCCTGTATTTCTCCCACAGTCCATGAGATTACCCTCCAGGTTTTACTGAATTTTTTTTCTTCATTATTTTCCACTTTTCTTCAGGAAATTATCTTCATATGCTTGCTCTGTTGCAATTCTTTTTTTCCCGAGTGGCATCTTCTTTTGGCCATTGTTACAACCAGTGTAGCTGGCTAGGTCTGACTTAGTATGGCCTTTCTCATGTTAATCTAAACTGAAAGTACACCCTCAATCTCTGCATCTCTCTCCTTCCAGCCAACACAGTATCCTATGTCATATCACAGGTGCTATGGCATTCTGTCTGAAATATTTAATCTTTGTCCTAAATATTACACGACTGAAACTGAATTCCTGGACTTGATTCCTTGACCACAGCATGACAATGCACAGATAAATGGCACTTGGGTTTTATATCTCATTTAGGTTCTAATGATTTCCTAGCACAGTCCCTGCAGCTTTCTCCTGACTATACTAGATGCTTTCAATTTGTGGAAAGATGTGAGATTACTCCTGAGATTATAATTTTGACTGTCATTCCCACATGTTAATTTGCCGTTGCTATTTTTTCTGCCACACGAAACTTCATTCTCAGACTTCATTATTTGACTTTCATTGATTTCAAGGACCAATATAATTTTACTTCTCTCTTGCTGCTTCACACCTGTTTCCTTAACAATGCCATTGAAGACAGTGTGAAGACAATGGCTGGTTTCCCACCCTTTGCCCCAGTCTCCCCTCTGGAGGCACAATGGCCTGGCCAATGATATTGCCCCATTCTAATCCCTGCTCAAAACTGATTTATGTCATGGCACTTACTTTCAACAGTTCAATTTGTTCATATTAGAAGTATTGAAAGAAAAGGAGTGCTGGGGAGGTGGAGAAGTTAAATGCTGTTTAACCAAGAAGTGGGGAAGGGAAGGCACCTCACATGAAGCCATTGATGATTTCTGAGCTGAAGCCTCATGTATTCCTTTCTCTCAACTCATACATATTTTTTTAGACTGTGTTCCCATAGGAAGAGAGAGCATGCTATACTATACCCCCAGGTAAATGCATAGCAAACAACCTGGCTGTATTTATTGCAAAAAACCGTGCCCACATGGGCACATAAAGAAGGAATGCTATGTCATTAAGACTGCCATTATGACTCTGTGATGGATACCCTGAAGTGGCCAACCTTCCATGGCCACAGCAGCTGGTGGCTGTCACCCCTGCTGCAGTGCACACTATGGAATCTGGAGCAGGCACACCCTAAAGCCTTTGCCTGCCTTTCCACCTCTGGGGTTTGAGCCAAGCCCACTTACAGCCATGTGGCTATTCCTGGAAAAAATCAGAATAAAGGTTGTTCTTGAGGAGATCTAATGATGTAGCTCAGGCAGAGGCTCTCCATCAGCAGCAAGATGCTAACTAACATAAGGCAGAGCAGTTTGCTGGGGTTTAATTCAAAAGACTTTTAGTAAAGTCAGGAGCTAGAGGGGGTAAGTAAGTAAGAAAGCAATGTTATACAAAAAAAAAAAATCTTTGTAGTGAGAACTTAGGAGCAACAAGACTCTTCAGCATCTCAAATGGTGTAGAACGCACTAAAGCATTTACCATTTTAGTAAGCAAGTACCACTGGAAAAGCTGATTTGCAGCCAATATGTTGTATCTTCTGCAGAACCCAGCTGAACTAATTAAGAAGACTATAGTCAAAGGGTTTTTTTCTGAAATTGGAATTCATATTCCTATTTTCTTTCATTTCACAGACCTGAAATGACCAGCAGCTCTTCATTATTTTTATTCCTATTCTTATCTTTGTTGTCATCTTCAGATGCCTCCTCATCTGCACAATACCAAACTACAAATTAGCTTTATTTTTGAGACAGAAGTGTTCCTAAGCTGGCAGTGCAAAAATCTGTGCCACAATATTATACATTTAAAAAAAGATGACTTATCCCATTAAATGACTTAACATTTTGTACATCTGAAGGAAAAAATAAATATTAACCTATGCTACTTTCATTCCGTGTAAGAAAAGAGTAAGTAAAGAATTTCTTACCAACATGTAATCTAAACTTGTCCTTTTCCAGTTTAAAACCATAGGTCCTTGTCCTGACACAATCTGACTGTATAAAAAGTTGCTTTTCCTCCTATCTATAAGCCCCCTTTAAGTACTGGAAGACTGCAGTGAAGTCTCCTCAAAGCCATTTCTTCTCTAAGCTGAACAACCCCAGTCCTCTCAGCCTGTCTTTGTAAGAGAGGTGATCATTCAGCCCTCTGATCATCTTCACAGTTCTCCTCTGGACTTGATGTAAGAGTTCACATCTTGTGTTGAGGATCCCAGATCTGGATACAGCACTCCAGGGTGGGTCTCACAAGGGCAGAGTACAGGGGCAGAGTCAGCCCCTCAGCCTGCTGGCCATCCTTCTATTGACACAGCCCAGGATGTGGTTGGGCATCTCACAGCTCTTCTGGGCTGTGAAAACACTCTATTAGATAAATTCAGGGGTGCTAGGTTGCATGGAAGGGCAAAAAGCATCGAAAATGAAAATTTCTTGACTAAATATCCATCGCTAGATTTCCTTCTTTGGTGTATTTTCCAAATGCATTTACAAATTTCTTTTACACACATACTAGATTTATAATTTCTTTTTCTCAAGACTTAGGAAGAATAACCAATCCTAAATTTTCACATCATTAGCATGAAGTCCCAGCTATTATAACTTGCAATCATGGGTGCCTCCCTTCTCAGTTGTTCTGTTTGAGTTTCTTGCAACATAATCTCACCAGAATCACCACTTAAACATTTCAAAACAAATCTGTAAGAGATAAACCTGAACATTCTCAGTTGCACATGAATGAGGGTCCAAAAGGAATATTTTAAACCTGAAAAAGTTACAACATACAGTCAGATTTTTTTCAGCTGCAGCATATTTTGTTGATGCAATTCCCAGCTTGCAGGAGAGAAAGCAAAGGTGTTATCAAGAGTAAACAAGTCTAGAGCATGTATTTCAGTTAGAAAAACTTCCAAAACATAGGCATGCAATTTTCACCCATTTAGGTTTTGGAAAAAATCCCATTAAATTCCAGTGGCCAGAGTATATCAGATGGGCTTTATACATTCTTTCAAGTTTTATTTCTTAGTATTTATCCTTGTGAATTTTGTTTAAAGACGTCCTCAGGGGGCTGTGTAGTTAGACCAGCTTCACACATTTTTGTTCTGTAGTCAAATAAATGTCAGTCAGCTTTACCAGCTGCAACCATGTAATTACCCGATTGTTGGCTGGACCTGTAACAATAAGTTAAGGTTCAGAACTGCATTTACAGAGTGACTTTGGCTGGCAGATTTCTGCTGTAACCATGCCCACAGCAATCACAGCCCAGTTGCTTCTTTCCCTGAGACTTTTAACTAAGCACACATACCAAGGAGCTATTTTTCATGGAGCTGTCATTCAAGAAGTTGCTTCACCAGCACTCTTGGTTCCAAGTCATGACATCCACACAAAGCAGGTATACAGTGCTATGTGGAAACATCACAAATGTATGCACAAATGGTTGTTTATAGATATTTGTGCTTAAAATGTTCCACTTTGCACATATCATTGTGGAAACTGTGTTTTGAAATAAAACTTGTCCCTACTTCCCTGGAACACTGGTCCCTTGATGGGACTGACTGCTGTGCTTTAAAACTCTTTTTAGATGAACAATGCTCAATAATGCAATTATTTGTGCATGCTTTTGTGCTATTTCTTAATGCACATTACTGCATTATCTCATTTCAAGACTAGTCTTACCAGTATAAAAGCCAAGACAAAACAGGTACTGAGTAACTTAAGTCTTCTCAATGTCTTTTTGTCACCAGGTCCCCCAGTCCTTTTGGCAGCAAACCCAAATTTTCCCCAATCTTCTTTTTATTGCAATGTACCTGCGAAGCCTTTTTTGTTTCTATCCCTTGCCAGATCCAGCTCCACATTTTCCAAACCTCATATCTGTGTTTTAGACCATTTCTGTATATCCCTTACAAATCACCTCTCCTTTCTTCCAGCTCTTCCGTACATCTAGCTTGTAAGCTCCAGCACCTCCTTGATCATCCATGCACGCTTCTTTATTGCAAAAGATAAAGTCCAGCAGAGCATCTTCCTTCCACTGGCTCCTTGATCATCTCTGTCTGGAAGTTATTACAAGTGCTGTATTATTGTGTCCTGCTGCGTCATCCCTCCTGCAGATCTCAGGGTGATTTTCTTTCTCATAAATACAACATTGCTCAAGCAAGTATTATAGTCTTAACAGATTACTAGATATGCACCTTTGAATATTGTACACGAACAGCCAGGCTACACTATCATTAATAGATATTTGGGATCACCAGGAACGCTGAGGCTACACATGTACGTATCTAAACATGTAGAATGAAATCATTTCCTTGCACTTGAAATTTCTCAACCATTTTAACATTCAACACACATTTATACTCACATGTACTCTAGAGTGGCTGGTACATCTCATGGTACTGCTCTGAGATCCTGGAGGGAAGGATGGCTGGGTTTGGTTGTGTTCTGAACAGATGGCAGAACACATAATAGAGCCATTGACTGCCACTGGATAATATAAATGCACTTCCCCAAAAGATTCCAACGCTGGTTTTGTCCCATTCTAAATTAAAATAAGACTATTCTACTATGTGCCAAGATTCGTTTGCAGATCAGTCAGGAAAATATGAGTTCACATCTGCATACTGAATAGCAGGAAAAACAAGCTGTATAATCAGTAATCTCCTATAAAAAGGGTCCATAATTTACTTCCTTAACTGATATATTCATTTCTTCTTTCCCTATTCATTATTTGAGGCTCTCTGAAGAACATACTGTAGAAATACATATTACAAATATTTATATTTTCTATATGTAAATAATTCTATGATGATGGGCACGTAGCAACTCTTTACTGGCACCAGCATATAATGATGCTTGCACAAAATACTGGGCTTAGTGCTGAGTCCTTCAGCTGCCAGACAAGGTCTCAGATCAATATGTGATATCTGAGGAACACATGCTACATTACTAGAGATGCAACTAATTCCCATTCATTCATAGGCATCATATGTCTGGGAATGGAAACAGAAAATATCTAATGTCATTACATAGCAGATAGGACATAATCTGTCACATAATAAACGACAACAAAAAACAGCCAAGAAAAATCTCTCTGAATGCCTTAAACACAGTCCAGTATGGACCAGTAAATCACTGGGAATTACAGATTGTGGACACAGGAATGGAGGTCTGCTCTGCGCAGATCTCAAAGCCTTTCTCCCACATGGCACTCTAAATTATACATAAGTGTGCATAAATCCATCAAAAATGAAGCTCAGATAAACCAATGAAAGTACTTCCCAACTGACCTATCCTAGTCAACATTTTTGGTTTTTAAATGCCATATTCTTTCCAAACAGAATTATATGAAAATACCCCTCGCTGTAAATAGTAAGAAATAATTTCTAGACAGAAGCTAATTCAACTTATTCCTCATATTTAGAATAACTTTTAACATTCATAAAATTTCTCACAAATAACATTTGAAAGTAGAATAAAATAGCATTAAATCTGCTTGATAAGAGGTGATATAAAAAACCATTTTTTTAAATGGTTACATAAATATGTATGGTTTTTGTTGGCTTTTCTAGGACTTGATTCTGGGAAACAGCACCTTTAATCCTTCATGAACAAAACTCAAAAATATGCTACTGCTATAAACCATGGGGATGAACCCTCTATAACAACCTGTGGCTTGTCTGTGGACCTTAATTAGTCAGAGAGATCATGATATAGAGCCTCTTCAGAGAGGATAAGAGTGGTAGTTCTCCATGGAGGAACAGAACAACCTTTTGTACCTGGTAATTTAAGGAGCAGCAACAGGCTAATCCGCCGCCAGCGCGGGGCAGAGCATGTGGTGTGGTTCTCAGCAGAACAGCAGGCCCCTAATGAGCTCCAGGAGTGGATAGCAGCTGGTAAACTCAGTGCTCAAGTAGGAGGCTCAGAGAGCCTTTATTTGATAACAAAAGGCTGCAAATTGCTCAAAGGCCTGAGCAGGCAATGAGAACATGTTCATATGGTCAGCCAATATAGAAATTTCCAAAACAAATATTACAATATATATGTTTTCATTGCAGCAGGATGTGGTGGAGTTTCTGAGAGCCAGGCATTTTAGAAATAAGTCATATATCGACTTCTCACTAAACTGAGCCCATCCAGAAATTAAACCAGCTTTGCTCACTGTATTGCAGCAACAAGACTACATATATACATCTATGTGTTTGCATTTTCAGTTTAAATAATCTCAGGTGAGCTAGGAATTGAGTTAATAAATCAAAAATATTTTACTGTACATATTCCACTGCCACCTGAGTCTAAGAATTCTTGAAGTGTAACAGATTGAGAAAGACTAACTATATATCAATTATAGGATTTTGACAAAGGATATCACAAACCATAAGTTCAGAGATCAACTGTTTCAGCAAGGTCAGAAGCTATAATTTACTCATATTTTTTTATGCATTTAGCCTTATCCATTGTTTTCTATGAAATATTAATATAATTCCACAGGTACACAATTTTGTGGAAGTACATGTTATAAGCATGTTTCTGTAGTAGTCTGGTCATGGCTGACGAGAGACAAGTTGTTATTGTTCCCACAGAATCCCATGGGACTCAGCCCCCACCAGAAGATCACAAATACTTTCTGTTGTCACAAAAAATACTAAAGTAATTTGCTTCTTATTTTCTGAAAACCGAGTAAACAGGATCTAGAATCAAATTTTGATTAAAAAAAAATAACAGTATGAGTTTCTTATCACTATTATAGAAGAATAACACAGTTATAGGCAAGAAACTTAAAATAATTCTCAATGAAGCTTCAGTTAATACAGACAAATGCACTTGAGGAAATTTGGTTGAGGTTTTGTGTTAGAATCATGATGGTGCAAAAAAAGTGTCTTCAATACTTCTTAAAATTATTAACAATAACATTAATCTGTGACAAAAAAAATACAGCAGATTTCTACCTAAAATTTGAGCTTCTTTTTCCTTGGGCTGTGAGATTGAAAATAACATCAAACATGGACTCAGATATTCTCAATTACTATTCCTAGTAATTAAAATCTTAAAAGCACCATATTTCAGCAGGTTTGGAAAATGAGACTCAACAACTGGCAAGTCACACATCAAGTATAATATAGGAACCTCAGGAAATCAATTGCTCCATTAAATTCTCCATAGTGATTGTACCATCTTTTCCCAGCCACGTTGAGTTAGACTAACCATTTTTTTTATTTACCTGAGGATAACAGTAAATTGGCATTTTTCTAATAGCTTTCTTCCCTCAAATGACTAAACTATGGAGTGCAGCACTATTCATAAATGAGGTATTGAATTCTCCAAAGTAAGAGTCTCCTAGCTCTGGTGCAGAGATGAGGACAGTTTACAAGCTGCCACACAAAAGCAGTCCTCGGTCCCTGCTCTCAACCAGAGCTGGCAGTTTCAGCCCTGGACGCTCGTGTCCCTGGAGAGTGGCAGCACCATGGCAGGGTGCAGAGCCTCTCTGCCCTCCCAGTGTTGCTGTGCTGCCCCTTGGCTCGCAGCAGGCTCAGGGGCCAGGGAGGGGCATGCTCAAAAGCTCCCCCAAGAGATAAGGCAGGCTGCTGTCCTGTTCCTTTTCATTCAGGAGATGCCTGCTCTCCACCGGTTTTGGCAGGTGCCTTTTAGGATGAGCACATTAATGGAATAAGTGTAAACTAAACAGAAATATTTTACATCTATGTAACAAATGTGGTTGTTGGGTTGGTTTCTCTTGAGTAGAATCTGCTGGGCAGAAATGCAGCATAATAGAGTATTTTACAATCATACTGGTTTAAGAAAAGGAGCCCCAAGGCAGAGCATAATTTAATTAACTCTATTGCAGGAAATTATGATTATCAGAACTCATTGAAGTTGGACCAGTGTGTAATCATCTACAGCTTTCAGAAAATACATGCTGCTTTAACTTTGATGAACTTGACTCAATAGCACACCGTCTGAAAAGGTTCTCTATTTGTGAGTATTCATTATGTATTCAAAGAGCTTTGGTACAAAATAAATTCTCAGGGCTGTAGAACCAGACCCCTGCTAGACTTGTAATAATGTTGTCACAAAAGCAAGATGTTTGTCATGTTTTCCTCCTTATAGCTACTTTTGAAAGCAGAGACTGGAAAGATTTTATATTGTCTTTAACAACAGCAGTACCAAGCAATGGATAAATCTGAAAAACAAATATCCAAGAATCTATAGATATTAAAAAAATATCATTTGGGCCATGTATTTCTTATCTGGTGAATTTCAAAGCCTAAGACTAGGCCTCTGAAAAGGCATAGGAAACATTAATTTGACAGGTCACATTAACATCCACTCACAAATATTTGTAGCCCAACATGAAATGAAAAGCCCACAAAGCCTTTTCAGTAGACCAGATATATGTAAATATCCATGCATGATCCTGCAGCATGAAATAAATAAATACAGATTTTGCTGCAGATTACATAGGATTGAAGTTTAAGTCTTTAAAAAGTGCATTATGTAGATTAAATGTTAAGGATAAAATATTTTGGTTTGTAAAAACCCTTATTAATAAATCATTGATTTGGTTGTCTGAGATATAAAATGCCACAAAATGTATTGTAATATAGATTATCCTTTTTTTTACACAATAGATACAAAAAACAGAAGTTATTTGAATTATTGAGATAATGTAAGCAGAATTTGGTCCAAAATAATGGGACCATTATGCATGGGAAATATCCCATTACTTCATGGGAAATATGAGAAGCAAAATCAACTGTTTTTTAAATTAATACATGTTTCTGAATATTCTGTCAATATGAATATAAAGTGTTGCAATTTAAATCAAAATTAGAGGATGTAAGAAAACACATATCACACCTCTTAATAAAATACAGTTTTTAAAATTATATGATAGATTATTTTTATGGTTATAAATATGAACTTTTTATAAAAAATTGTCATGAAATTATTCTATAGGCAAGCGTAACTCCACAAATCAACTGTGAGTTTTATTTTCACAATGTTGCACATGAAAGTAATTTCAACCACCTCACACTCAAAACCTACCCAAAAATCTTTAAATACTTTAGGGGGGGGGGGGGAAAAAGAAGAGAGAGAAGTCCAGGATTATTTTGGTCTTTTAATAACACATTTATCAGCTTCATTGATTTTGACAATATTCTGTAGTTCTGACAGACAGCTTGTAGCACTGGAGGGGGATAGGAAAATAATGCAAAGTGAGTGGCTCCCTGGAGGAAAGTTTGCGATGGGACCAATTGCCAAAAAGAGAGTCCAGGTCTGAATAAAAGTGTAAAAACCTGGCCTTATTGACATTCATGGCATACTCCCAATTATTTTAATATGGCAAGATTTCAGCTCTGGGGAGAGGAAGCAATCACCATCAACGCAAGGAAAGAGAATTTACTACGCATTTTATCCCTCATCTTTTTTAAAAAGAGAAAATATTATCTGTTCCTTGTGGGGTCTCCTCAGCACTGCTGCTTTTTGCTACACTTGAAAAGAAGGAAAACACACTGTGCACTTTCTGGAGTTATTTTTCATTCCCAAAACCTTTCACCAAAGAGACCGCAAGGCCTGCAGCAGACAACTGATGATCTCATGTGTTTCTTTTGCCTTTTCAATCGATAAACCAGTTTCAGATCATCTGATGTCAACAGAAAGCAGCTTTTTTTGTTTGGTTGGTTGGCTTTGCTGGAGGCTAGACCCGCGGACCTGGCTGTGTAACAGCCTCTTGTGCTCAGAAGGAGGCTCTCAGGCCGGTTGTGGCACCGGCATCTGCTTTGTGCGAGGGGATGTGCAGAGAAGCTTAAGTAAGTGTGGGAAAACAGCAACTGCAGATCAGGATTTGCCATAAGGCAAGACCTAACACATAGCTCTTTCTGGTTCATCACAAACAGATGGAAAAACACATAATAGACTCCAGTTAAAAGTCTTCTGTTCTATTATCTTTCTTATGAATATACCGCTGAGAAATTAGCAAAGTTGTTCAAGAACACAAGAACACTCACAGAGAAAGTAGCTACGTAATTGCAGAGCCTTTTTTGTGTTAGTAGTTTTCACACAGATATGAGGGACATAATAATTACAGGAATATGTGTTCAGTGTAGTTCACAACAAACATGGTAATTTTTACAGCCCACAATTTTTAAGCAATGCGGTGATCTTTAGAGCACAAAGGAAAATTAGGCTCGTCACACTCACCACCCAAGGCCTCATATGCTGAACAGAGGGAGGTCCTTCTGCAGCAAAGAGCCCTCTTCTTCCTTTTTTTCCTGTGACCTTAAGGGGTGGCAGGAAGAGAAACAAACAGCAGGAAGAAAGAGACTGTCTATACTTGTGGCTGCTCAGTGCAGCTCAGGTAAAGTCCTTCCAGATACAGGGAATGCTGTATAAGCCTCTTCATACCAGCCAGAACTATTCCTTGTGCCAGTTTCAGCACAGTTTCATTTGCTGAGTTTGATACAAGAGCCCTTGGAGTTAAAATCCCAATGCAAAGGCATTGCAAACTGACAGCCTTTTCTGGTGGGGGGAGAAGTTTGGGTGAGAAGGAGCAGAGTTTTCCCTACTCTAGGTCAGGCAGGGTGGATAGGTTTTCTGGTTTGTTCCCTGTGTGATAGAGCTAGAATTTACAGGGAGATTCAAAATGAAGTAAAATTATAGAGGGACTTTAAATAGCAGAATGCAGTTAGACACCTCAGCATGATGGTGATGAGATTTATGTCCTCTAATCTGAGACCTCTACACTCTAAACATCCACATCCCAATCAAATATCCAAAGAGAATAACCCACCCATCAATTACAAAGGAAGCCTATAACAACTACATCGGGGTTAGGTGCCTATATATGACAAATGTACCAGTATAACCTGGCAGGTGACCTCCACAT